GTCGCGTTATAGCGAACCCAAGCCATGATTAACGTGAGAGCGATGGGAAAGAGGAACTCGAAAATGGCGGAAATCCAATGTCTTTTCCTCACAATCCATGATTTCCAGAGAAGAATAAATAGTTGTTTCAATACTAGAGAAGCCATAATAACGACGACTGAATTGTTTCAAACATTTTACTGACATTTATATAACTTTTATTGTAATCTCGTTTGAGATAAGAATTCAAGTATTGTTCGCGAAATGCAATAAAATTCTTTCTCTCCAAACGTGTTTTTGTGTTCATTTATTTTGCGTCAAAAGTCTAATTGTGCCGAAAACCCGATTTTAATGTTAAACCCGATTCGAGACAAGGATTGGATAGGAATCGGGATTTTGTGACGAAATACACGCGTTCTATAGCGAAACAATCAATAATTCAATATTTTCCTAATTGTCACGTATTTTGTCGTCATTTAAACCTGTTGTTATATTTAGTGCAAAACGAGTTCGTTATCAATAAATTCATGTGACTTTTTGTGGAAATATTTTTGCAATAAATGTATAATAATTATGATTTTGACAATAAAAGTACACAAGAATTAGTATGAATGGACTAATGATGCATAGAAAGAGTGCATTCCCTTTTAGTGCAATGGATAGACATATTCGCACATTTGATAAATAGATTAAAGAAGAGATTAAAGCATTTAATTAATAGCAAAGTATGAATATTCTAGTGATTGTTTCGAAATCCCCAAAACATTAAATCTCGTATTTGTTGTCACTATTGGTAACTAACAGTAATTTATTGAATTCCTGACGAAACGCTTCTTCATTTACTATAACACTGTTTTGTGATTCAAATCGATTGAATATTTATTTCAATATTGAGTTGACATTTCTATTCTTTATATTTTCATTATTATAAGTGTCACAAAACGCGCATGGTGCGGCATTTAGTGTTATCAAATGAAAGTCTCAACGGATTCGAGTGATTCATATGAGCGCGCGTTCGGCCGCAATGACCACATTTATGGGGAAAACGTGAACATCAAAAGTTGTATTTCACGAATAAGGGTAGAGTAGTATACAATGTATATCACTGGAAAGGTGTGAATGAGAGGAATGCAATTCTGATGGAACTTTGAAATGCTGACGTCAATTAAGTTACGCAACAATTGAGTAATTTTGTAACAATTGTAATGTTTTATATAATGACTCATTATTAATGAGTCATTATTACAAATGTAATTATTAATTGATGTCAATTTTAGTGGCTTTTAAATTCTTAAAATAAAAATCTTCACAATTTTTACTTTACAATAATTGTTGGCATTTTCCACAAAATCACACTTTTCTGCAATCTAAATATTAAACCCCATATTTATTAAATATATATTTTAGTAACTTTTTCGAAACAAACTAATGATTAATCATTTTTTATGTTTACAATGTTTTGTAAAACAATTTCGGAATTTAAGGAATTTGAAAACTATTAGTATTTTAATACATTTTTAATAATTATTCCAACATTTTCAAATGCAATTAACATTCGGACAAAGGTTTGCATTTTCCCGTCTTTGTGTCCAACACTTGTCCACCACTACAGACCAGATAACAGTTGGGATTACACCAGAAAGAGTTGCACGTCGGAGGTTTGGGGCGTTTACATGTTGCCGGACACGGATTCTGACAACCACATTGTTTCCCTTCTGTACACACCTTTCCTTCGCATTCTTTGTGTTAAATAATTATCAAAACTCTTGAAAATTAATCACAAAAATACCTTTAATTGTATTGTTTTCACAGTTTATGCCATAAATGAAGACACATAGAAAGACGAACGCAAAAATGGTTTTCATTTTTATTAGAAATGAATGAAAATAGAAACCAATGTTTTTTAAATATCAGTTTTCAGCAAAAAGCAATTTATTGCGTATTTATTCACCTGTTTTTTAACAAAAACTGGTTTTCATTACAACAATATATGGTCTTATTTACAATAATTATTACTTCTTCTTCGTGTAGTCATACCATCCCTTCCCCGTCTTCCGCCCCAGTTTGCCCTCCGACACCATTTTGTTCACTAATTCAGATCTCTGCACATTGAGTGTGGGGTCATTCATGGCGAGCCACGACTCGACCACAAACTTGCCGGTGTCCAGACCCGTCATGTCCATCAACTCGAACGGTCCCATCGGATACCCGGCGCCCAACTTCATGGCGATGTCGATGTCCTCGAACGTGGCGTCTCCTCTCTCCACCATTCGCACCGCTTCTCCCGAATACGGAATCAACAGACGGTTCACAATGAATCCGGGCGTGTCTTTGCATAGAACGCCCACTTTGCCGATGTCCGCCACAAACTCTTTCAACGCGTCCACCGTTTGTTGACTTGTGGTCACGTTTTTGATGATCTCAACCAACTTCATGAGCGGAACCGGATTGAAGAAATGCAACCCTCCGTACCGTTCCTGTGGACCCACTTTGACGCCAATCTCCTGCACCGACAGAGACGACGTGTTGGTCACGAAGATCACCGAATCGTTGCCTTTGAATTGTTCGTTGAGAGCGGCGAAGATCTTCCGCTTGACGTCCAGGAGTTCGGGAACCGCTTCAACGATGAGAAGGTTTTCGTCGGATTTCGGTTCGGTTTTTGTCGAAAAGTTGATAGAATTGATAGTTTTGTCGACGCTTTCGATTTGAATCGCTTTCTTTTGATGCAATTTCTCGACACTCTTTTGAATGGCTTTTCGCGCGATTTCCAGTTGTTTTTCGTTCACGTCTTGTAAAGTGATTGAATTGAATTTCCCGCTCGTGGCGCAGCTCTGAGCGATTCCCGATCCCATGAGTCCCGCACCGATGACCAGCACATTGTCCACTCTTCGCGCCGCAGCGGTGGTCGACAACTGGTGTTTCAGTTGAACTGAAGTTTGGCTGTAAATCGGTCTTAATTTTGAAGAAAACATTTTCACAATTTGTGCAAAAACTCAACGAAAACCGGTTTTATGTCTGTCTTTGCAATGAATGGCAATTTTCAATACATTTTACACTATTTATAACTTTCTTATCGTTTGTTTATTTGATTTTAAGTGATTTGAAAACAAAGTCTGAATTCAATGCCAAATGTTTTTGAGTACTTTCTTGAGTGCAAAGTTTCATTTATTTCCCATATTTTTAATTAATATAAATGAACGTAAAGTATTGAAATTGTTTTAGAGTCTGATTAAATAATTGCATTTACGTTAATGTAAATTGAATTAGAATTTTAAATTTATTTGTTTTTGATTTAAGTTAATGTACTTTTAGTTTTGATTACAAATATCGGAAAATACAATAAAATTAAATGACATGAATATTAAGTTTCATTAATTGATTACAATTGAAATGAATTATGTTTTATTAGCAATAAATATAAACATTAATTCACATAAAACTTAAATAAAATTCAATGTAATCTAAAAAGCAATTTATTTGTGAAAACAACGTTATTCTGTGTAACGATAATGTCTTTTAAAAATTTGTGTTTTATTTATTGAAAATAAAGTATAATTTCAATACAAATACGAGTAAATAATGGTTTGAATATTCAATAATTTATTGACAATCAAATTTGCGAATCAATTATTTATTACCTTTTATTGAAATAAAGTTTGTTTTCGTAATAAATAAAAACAAATAAAGAAAGAAATGTTTTGACATTTTAGGAGAAAATGATTATTATTTGAATTTTTGTTTTTGAAAACAAATTCTTCGTATTTAAAGAACTCAAAAAACAATTCACTTCTCATTCTTATTGACAATGATTTCATTACCGATTCCTTCCATCAGATCTCAAACGCCCGAAAATGTCAAACAAACCAAAATCCAAAATCTGGTCCAAAATTTTGACGAAATGAACGCCAATTCCCGACACAAAGACATTCTGTTGTCCTTTGGTGTCGGCGTTGGAGTATTGATTGGAGCGCTTTATTTAGTCCTTTCACTCAAAATGCCATTTTGTGGTTCAGTTTTGGCCAAAGATTTGACTCTTTTTGACCAAAAACTCGAGTTTGTCTTAAGGTATGAAAATATGATTATTAATTAGAGTTAAACAACAATCTCTTCAAACAGATATCAATCGCTGTCTTTGACTCCAATTGTTTTCAACGTATTTCTCGTTTTCATGCGATCTCTCACTTCGGAAGAGGAAAACGACAGAACGAAGAAAACTCTGTCGAAAGCACTGCAAGACTCGACGCAACACTTTCTCATCTCAACTGTTGTTCAAATGGGTTTGGCGGTCGATCTGAGTGCCGAACAAACCCTCACTTTCTGTCCATTTATGGCAATCATGTTTTTTATCGGAAGAGTCAGTCATTTATTTGGCGTCAAATACAACGGCTTTGTTTTTGCTCTTTCTTTTCTTCCCTCAATTATTGCCGTATTTTTCGCAACTTTTCGTTTTCTTGTTTTCATATTTCTTTCCGAAACACCAAAAAGCGATTCATTTTAAGTGTTTTGAAATCAGCTTTCATTTGAATTATAATTTTTAATTTATTTAAAAAATAATTCTTATTGTAAACAGATTTTTAATTGAAAGACATTTTATTTATTGTGAATAAACGGAAATAAATTCAATCATTTCGACTCCTTATCGTGAATTCCTGCACCCAATGGAGGGTTCGCTCCAAATATGCCGTTTCGGACGCCAAACCCGTCTTATTATAAGCGCCGTTATATGAGAGGTAAGGAATGCCAGCGGGAGGTGACGAAGACGCGGGTTCGATGACAGAGCCCTCGTGCCACTCGTTGAACGACGTGATGGACACATAGGCGGGGATTCCCGACGCGAACATGTTATTCCAGGCCAAGTCATAAGTGGCGCCGTTCTTGCGGTCCCAGAGATGCGCCTGAGTGTGATTCACAGCCCTTTCGTCGGTATATCCCGGTCCCACAGACGGCGACCAAAACATGCCTTTACTTTTGCAGAACTCGTTCATCGCGTGCCAGCGTTTGGGATCCATGAAGAAGGGATCCACTCCAATGCCGTACGGATAGAAACCGCTGAAGAATGGGTAGACGTCTGTGTTGTTGACCGGTTCTGGACTGTTATAAGTGGAGCCCAACATTATGTTGTCTTTCAATAGCGGTTTAATCGGCGCCCAGTTTTTGGTCAAAACACTGGAATAGATGTAAAAAACGGGACGATTTCCGTGAGCGCTGTCCCGATAGAAGACCGGATGTGAGCCGTACTTATTGTTGATGTAATCGATGTCAGAAGCGGTCGATTCGGCGGTTCTTTGGCCGTAGGACTCGATATGAAAGCCCACTTTGAGCTGATGTTTGTGCGCGGCGTCCATAATAGCGGTAACGCACTTGTCTTCGAAGGAGTGCTGTCCCCACCAACTCGTGAGCACAACTCCCACACCTGTGCTCGCAATCCACTCCATGTGCTGAGCGATCACTCGAGTGTCGCACGAGTCGTAAGCGCCCAAAACGGGATAGAAGT